AACACAAAATCAAGTTTTTGGAAGGGTCCTGAAAGAGTGTGCAGGAAGCTTATTTACTCTTCCAGCCTAAAAGATCTCCAGATTCAACCCTGTAGTCTGACATAAGGGTAAGTTCAGCCTGAAGATGAGATCTGTGGTCCCCAGCGAGTCTGCACGGAACCGCGGCTACCCCTCCGGCCTGCTGACTCCGGGCAGTTAAGTTTGCCCATTGCCCCAGCAGCCTTCTTCAAGTTGAATTAATAACTGCGGATTCTCGAGAGGTGAGGGATCAAGGAGGGTAATCTTAACGAACACAGTCCACATCTCCCCATTTCACATGAGTAAAGGGGCACATCTCCCGAAAATGTCCTGGCCCTGCAGCTGCCGCTTCGGGCCCCAGAGGCTGGAGTTGGCCGAGGGCTGTTCGGTCCTCCCAGGCCCGGCCCCGCTTCTCGGTGCGGCGAGACCTCCGCGTTACACCGACTCATCGATCAGCTTCCCCAAACGACAGGCACGATCTCGGGGTAGCGGAGGTAAAACAGAGAGAACCGCCACCCCCAACGAGGCCAGGGGCGCCCAGCCCTTTTCGAACCACGACCCTCGGGCTGTGGCCGGACAGGGGGGAAAGCGGACACCCCAGCCGGTCAGCCGAGCCGCCCTGAGGGATCACCGACCGCGCGCCCCGCCACGGAGGAGGGACGGACGGGGAGCGCGGAGGCCGGCGAGGAGACGCGCGCCAGTCCCACAGCCCGGCGGGCGAGGCGGAGGGCGAGCGGAGGCCCCCAGGCGCGGGCCGCGCGGGGTCTGCCACACACATACTCACTGCCGCGGCTGCGACCAGGAAGCACCAACCAGGAACCAAAACGCGTAGAGGGACGGGGAGGGGCGAGGACGAATGAGGTAAGAAAACCGCGTCCACGCGGACCCGGGAGGGGGGCGGGCACTTCCGGGGAAAACACAGCTCCCGGGAGTCGCCTTCCGCCCCCCGCGCGTCCTGCGGGACCTCTGTACGCATGCGTAGCATCTGTTAACCCTTTCCTTCCCCGCTAATAATCTTTTGGTCAGCCTTACTTTGCTTTTCCCCTTTCCCTTCACTGCTTCTTTCAAAGATACCTAGGCTGCATCTACGGTAGAGGACAGTTTATTTTAATGACTTTGCGCGTTAGAGATGCTACTTCCCTGATACAACTAGAGGCGGAGCTCGCACGCCTCGTTAAGCGCCCGCGAGGAAAACTACACCTCCCATCATGCCCCTGGTCCGGTTTCAGGACAGGCTCCGCCTCCTTCCTTCAGGATCTCTTGGTCCCTACTCCCAAGGCCAAGTGGTGGCGGTTCCCAGCCGTGTCGAAGGTGGGGGCCGGGTGTCGGGTGTCGGGGGGTTGGCTGGCTGTGCGATTGTGTTGGAAGCCTCTGGCTTTGGTTCCTTTGCTCACACTTTATTTTTAAAAATATGTATTTTATTGATTTTTTTACCGAGAGAATTAGAAACATTGATCAGCTGCCTCCTGCACAACCCCTGCTGGGGATGTGCCCGCTACCAAGGTACATGCCCTTGACCCCGACTGGAATCCAACCTGAGACCTTTTGGTCCGGAGGCCACCGCTCTATCCACTGAGCCAAACTGGTTTCGGCTGCTTACACTTTAATACTTAGTAATAATAAACCCATCTGTACAACTTTACAAATAGTGAAGCAGCTTTACTAGTATCAATTCGCTGGCCCTTGGCAACAGTCCTGAAAGACAAGTTTGACATTGGTTCTTCTGGCCAACATTTCTTGAACCGCAGTTGAGACACAGTATTAGCAATTGGGGATATGAAGTTTGTGATCTCATAGAGCTAAGAGTCCTACCTGGGAATATAAAATACAAATAATTATAAATCTAAGAGTTTGGCTGAGAAAATTATAAATTTTAATTAAAATTATGGTAAGCGCTAGGAAGCAGGACGGTACAATGAAAAGGTAAAATTGAAAGACCTATTTTGCAGAGGAGGAAACAAAGAGATTACTAGATTGCTTAGGTGATGTGTGTTGTGTAGAACAAATGTTACCTTAATAAAATAATCAGTTGAGCTTTTATCTAATGCCAGGTTGGTTTTTAAACATTCCCATTTCACAAAAAGAGGAAATCAATTCAGAAAAGTTAAGTTCTGCCCAAGACCAAAAGGATAGAAATACTCCAAATTACTCTGCCCAATCCTCATGCATTCAGCCAAGGTTTTCTAGTTCCTATGTTCAGAGTGCTTTAGTCACCCGCCTTTAGGTTGTTTCATAAAACCCAGAGTCCTTTGGATGACATAAAGGGCAGTTCATGAGTTGAATCTGCCTATCTGTTAACCACAATGCTAAATCTTGGGAAGTAGCCAGAACACACTATGTTCTCCCACATCTGTGCCTTTACCTAGGGCACTCCCACTGCCTGTCAAGTCCTTCTCCCTGGCTCTGCCCAAGCCCTGGGTCTTCAGGGAAACCAAACAGAGCAGGTATTCCTTCTAGACTCCCCTACACTTTGGACAAACCTCCATCAAAGCAGTTGTATTTACCTTACAGTTTCAGATGGCAGAAATTTTGACATTTTATCTTCGTATTTTCTCCAGCTAACGTAATGCGTGGTAGACAGTAAACACTCAATAAAGTGTTAAAGGAATGAAGCCACTCTCACTCCAAGGAAACCTGTAGGGGTCCCAAGGATAAAAGATTTCTAAGGAGAGTAGGGTACACACACACCCACACACACTGTCTTTGCATGATGAGTTCTCACTTAGATGGCTTTTAGAAATAAGATCCAATCTCCTATTACAGTGATGAGGAACTGAAGCCCAGAAGAGAAGACTTGCCAAGAGTCACCTAACAGGCAGAACTGTGTCTGCATTCCTCTTTGAGGTTGGCACAAACACAGTATTTTCTTTCCACTCATGCTCTCTCTGGTATGCATTTGAGATCAAGAAGTGACAGCATGCACAACTATCCTGAAGTCTCTCTTACAGAGAATGTTCTAAAGAGCCCCTTTGCCCATTTATTTGAAGAAGGAAGCACCTGCTTTCCCCAGGGCAGTAGCGATGCTATATTAACAGTAAGCAGATGAGTTGAGGTGAGGGGCCCCAACGCAGGGGCTTGCCTTGCTACAGAAGGCAGGCAAGATGAGGGATGTACTCTAGGCAAGTGGCACATAGTACTTGTCCTTACCCTTGCAGAGGGAGGAGTTACCTCCTTTCTTTCATTCTAATTTATTAGTATTGATAGTTCCTAGAATCTCTGAGAACTAATCATTTTGGCCTCTTAAAAGTTGCCTTTTCATTACTATTCATTCACTGGGAGGCTACTATGTCACCGGCCCTTGCTAGCCACTTGAGTTCTATTGTCTCTCTCCCCTTCCCATATTGACTCAGTAAGGGAGGTGTTAACCCATTTCACTAGGATGGAAATTGCTACTTGGTGAGGCCATGTGCCTTGTTCTAAATCCCACAGATTCAAACCCAAATCTTATCTGAATCCAACACCCATGCTCTTTTTTTATGCCCAAAGTTACCTTTCAAAACTAAATTCTTTGAGGGTGGAGATGATGAATGACCTGCTCCTTTCTCTCCACCCAGCACCGAGCCCAAGGCCAAGCACATAGTGAACTCACAGATGAGTGGATCCAGTATTAAATGTCTATCAAATGAATGCTCCCTCCTCTGCTGTCCCACAGTATGAACAGTGTTGTGGGACAGTAGAGGAGGGAGCAACTGGCTGTTTAAGGGAAGTGGAGAAACCCCCTTCTGTCAAAGAGGAGGCCAAATAAGTAATCAGAAAGCAAAAGACAACAAGCCAGCATTTACCAGCAAAGAATACCAACAAGCAATTCACAGAAGAACCTATAGCTCAAAACCCATAAGGCCATGAACTATGATAAAAGAGGTGCTTAACGTCACTAATCATCAGAAAAAATGCAAATGATCTCATGGAAATATAAATTGGAAAAGCCCTTTACAGGAGCTTTTTTTTGATAGTTTCTATTAAACTTGTAAATGAGTTCAGGCAATGTGGCTTGGTGGTTGAGCGTGGACCTATAAACCAGGAGGTCACAGTTCGATTCCTGGTCAGGGCACAGCAGTAAAAGATACAGGATAAATGCAATGCACCATCTGGGATTTTCTTTTGCCATAAAAGGTATTGTTGGGACAATCTGAAAAATCCAAATAAACCTAGTGCTGTATTGATGCTATTTTTCTGATTTTTATATTTATATTATGATTATGTAAGAGAATGTCCTTTTTTTAGGCTATCCACACCAAAGTACTTGGAGTAAAAGAGCATCATTTGAAACTCATTTTAAGGGGTTCAGAAAAAAAATAATGTGTTGGGAAAAAGGAAAAGGAGAGAAAAAGGATGACAAATGTGGTTTAAAAAGTTAACATTTGGGGGATCTGGGTAAAAGGTAGACAAGAATTCTTTATACTAATTTTTTTTTCTGTCTGAGATTATGTCAAAATATAAAATTCAAAGAAAAAAAAAAGAATGAGTAAGAGTTTACCAGATAGAAAAGACGAGGAAATCTTCTGGCAAAAGAACAAGAGAAGCAAAGGAAACTGACATGTGTGGGTGGCATATGAGGAGAAACAACCATTGGCTCTAAGTGTCCAGAACATAGGATGGTGTGGGGGGAAAAGGGACATGGAGAAGAACAGGAATGATGAGCAACCCAGTCCACAAATGGACACATTTCCCTGCTACCTAATACTGGAAATGAAGATTTAAAATCTTTATACCCTGCCTCAAGCCCTTAAAAACCCCACACACCTGAATATTTTGGCTGCATAGTGATTTCATTGGCCATTTCTCTCTTCATCCAGTGACCATAAAACAATAGCTGAAAGGGACAGCTAGTACAACTCCCTCATTTTGCAGAAGGGAAAACTAAGGTTCAAAATGGAGAAATGATTTGCAAAGTACCACCAAAAGTTAGTGTTAACACTGGCTTCCAGTTCACCATCCATCATTCTCTCTCTGGCACCAAAGTCTTTTTTTTTTTTTTTTTTTTTTTAATGAAACACTTCACAAATTTGCCTGAAATCCTTGTTCAGGGGCCATGCTAGTCTTCTCTGTATTGTTCCAATTTTTACTATATGTGCTCCGAAGCGAGCACTCTGGCACCAAAGTCTTAAAGATTGAGGTAGACAAGTGAAATGACTGAATGTTACCCTTTAAAATTAGGATGTTTTTCACTGGCCACATGTATGGACTTATTATCTGTCCAATTTTAAAATGTAATTATAGAAATATTAAAATGTAATTATAGTTGTTACTTAAAGCCCATATTTTGCAACTGGTAAGTGCTGCTCAACTCAGGCTCCTAATCTGAAACAGCAATCAAGTTAGTTCTCAGGAATTATCAATGACATTGGTACCCATCTGGCTTTCTTGAAAAGTTTAACACCCTTTTTTATTATTCATGATTTTGCAGTTCTTCACATTGCAAGGTGATGGAGAGAGCATGCAATTTTCATCTGAGCTATGAAATCATTCTTGAATTTTGGACATTCATATAAATGGATTTTAATTTTTCTTAGAGACCGCTTTTCCTTATGAAATCATGAAATTGAAAATATATGTACTTAAATTAAACTGTAAAATATTCTCATTACAATAAAATCTAAAGGATAAGGAATTAGCACTTCAAGGACTCTATTCTCATTTGTCATCATTCCTAGTTAGAAGTATATTCCTCAAAGCTTACATCTAAGTGACTACATGACTAGCAAAACTATTGAGGTTCTAATTTATTTAAGAATCATTAGATTCCATACAGGACATCTTGAAGCATGTCATCAGCAATGTGTTGACATAATATGCACACTGCAAAAGGCATGTCTTTATTTTAAATGTTCATGAACCCTGGGTCCCCTAGAATTTTAATGCATGAAGAAACCTTACTCAGTTCTCATTCTATAAAGGGGCAACTTTCTTCCCCTGCCTATCTCAGACTCCAGATTCATGCAGTTTTCAGTTCAGACATGTCTTTGTGATGACATTTGTGTGAATTATTTTATTCAGGATTGTAGATTGACAACAAAGATTGAGAATAATCAAGATCACCCTACCAATTGAGTTTTTAAAAATATATTTTAATGGTTTTAGAGAGGAAGGGAGAGGGAGAAAGAGATAGAAACATTAATAACAAGGGAGAATTGCCAAAACCAGTTTGGCTCAGTGGATAGAGCATCGGCCTGCGGACTCAAAGATCCCAGGTTCGATTCCGGCCAAGGGCGTGTACCTTGGTTGCGGGCACATCCCCAGTAGGGGTGGTGCAAGAGGCAGCTGGTTGATGATTCTTTCTCATAGATGTTTATAACTCTGTCCCTCTTTCTTCCTCTCTGTAAAAAATCAATAAAATATATTTTAAAAAATAATAATGAGAGAGAATCATTGATCGGCTGCCTCCTACATGCTCCAACTGGTGATCAAGCCCACAACCTTGGCATGTGCCTTGACTGGAATTGAACTGGGGACCCTTCAGAGAACAGGCCATCAGTCTATCCATTGAGCCAAACCAGGTAGGGCCCAAGTGAGTTTTTTATACAGTTTATGTCATCTTAAACACACTTATACACAATACATTATAGCTGTTATGCTTTGTATTTTGGACATTAATATGCATTTTTTTTTTTTTACAAAATTGATGAAACCATTAACAAAATATGGCTTCAGAGATCTCTCTTTAATCTGACAATATCTTCTTCCTCTGCCTTTATTCTGGACCTGATATTCTTCCATGACTGATACCAATCTGCACTTGCATGATATACTTCTTATACCTGACCTAGTAATTGCAGAAGATTCTGTCTTCCTATCCATCATACCTCAAACTTTACACTTTCTGTACAGTCTTCAATAACTATTCTTGCATGACCCTAGCAATCCCTATTCTTGCTTTGCTACTAGAGCACTTTATTAAAGTCCTGAACATTTTCTTGAGAATGTCCAATGTTTCTCTCTCAAGAATGGCTTCTTTTGCTCTGATGTACTGTTTTTCTCAGAACTTACTTTCTGTTTTCTTCTGTGCCTGTGCCTGGCTATGTAGGAATAATAAGAAGCTTAATTGTCTGCTTTGGTTTCTTGGCAAGAGAGGGATTCTATCTATCTGACTGAATACCATCCAAGGAAGCTCCAGGCTGCTTAGAAGACACAATTTCTGGGTCTGGTCAAGTAGCATTATCAAGGCTCCCATTTCCTGTCTTCAAAGACCATCTGGGCAAACCTTAACCCAATTAGAACAGGATGGAATTGTGTGAAATGAGACCAGGAAAACAATGGGCAGGAGTTGCTAGGAGCTGTACTGAGCAACAGAAAGTAAATGACATGTATCGATGAAAATAAGAAAGTAGCAGTAGGCTACCAGTTGACCAACAGGGTAACCACAGGCTATCAGGACTAAAATAGATCTCATGTGGCATTGCAGCAGGAACAAATACCAAAAAGTCTGAAACAATGGATGCAGGCATTTTAGTGCATAATAGAAATAGCATTTCAAATCAGTAGAAAAAAGATGAAATATTCTATAAATGTTGCTGAAAGAAGTGCAAACAGGCAGTTAGAACCTACTTCATACCAAGCCAAAAATTAATTACTAGTAAGTGAAATTATAAATAAATTAGAAAACATTTAATATAGTATTTTAAGGAGAAAGATAAACAAAATTAAAAGACAAACCACAGAATGGGAGAAAATATTTTCCTCACATACACCAGAAGATATTACCCATAATATAGAAAGACTTCCCACAGTCAATTAGACAACTAAATGCTGCCCTGCTCCGTGTGGTACAGTAGTTGGACCAACTATGTTGGGTTTGAGGGCCAATGGTCCAACTATGTTGGTCCAACTATGTTGGGTTTGAGGGCCAATGGTCCAATCTATGTTGATTCCTGGTCAACATACCTGGGTTGCAGGTTCCATCCCCAGCCCCAGTTAAGGCACTTCCTCTCCCTCCCTTCCACTCTTTCTAAAAATCAATGGCAAAAGTATCCTCGGGTGAAGATTAAGAAAACAAGCAGACAACAACAAAAACCTAAATGCCACCACAGAAAGCGAGCCAAGGGATTGAACAGAAAGTTGTAGACAGAGAACTAAGAGCAGCTGAATAACATGAGATGATCAATCTTCCTAATAGATAAAAGGAAATGAAAATAATACAATTGTTTATAAGTCAGATTGACAGATTTTAAAGGGTTGATAATACCTTCATTGTTTTATTTATTCAGAAATATTTATTGAGTGTCTACTATGTATCGTGCATGGAAAATGATGAGCATAGCAGACCCAATCCCTCTATGTCTTTGGACCACCTCACACCTGTCAGAATGGTTATTATCAACAAAACAGGTAATAACAAGTGTTGGAGAGATGTGGGGAAAAAGGAACCCTCATTCACTGCTGGTGGGAATGTAGACTGGTATAGCCACTATAGAAAACAGTCTGTAGATTCCTTAAAAAATTAAGAATAGAGCTACCGTATGACCCAGCAATACCTCTCCTATGTATATATCCGAATTTTTTTTAAAAAAATGTATTCATAAAGATATATGCACCGCTATGTTTATAATGGCCAAGACATGAAAATAACCAAGTGTCCTGCAATAGACTGAATAAAGAAGTGGTACATGTACACAATGGAATACAGATGGACTACTGAGCCATTAGAAGGGATGAAATACTGCCATTTGCAGCAATATGGATGGACCTTGAGAATATTATACCAAGTGAAGTAAGCTAAAAATCATATGATTTCACTCATATATGTAATATACCATAAAACTGAAACTCGTGGACACAATCAGCAGTGTGGTGGTGGTTAGAGGGAAGGGGGTGAAGGCTGAAGGATGTTCTTATGTGTGGTGATGGGAGAAGATTTGCCTTTGGGTGGTGGGCACACAGTGCAATATCCAGAACTTGTAACACAGAAATCCACATCTGAAACCTGTATGATCATAACCAGTGTCACCCCAATGAATTTAATAAAACAAATAAAATATGGGGGGAAAGATGAGAGAATCCTGCTGGCTTCTGAGGTTCTTAGCAATCCTTGGCATTCCATGGCCAGTAGATATATCCCTTCAATTTCAGTCTCTGTGGTCACATGGCCATATTCTCCCTGTGAGTCTCTTCTTTTATAAGGTCACCAGTTATATTAGATTGGAGTAGAGGCCCACCCTACTCTGGTATGACCATATCTTAATAACTAATTATATCTGCAATGATCCTATGTCCAGATAAGGTCATATTCTGAGATACTAGAGTTTAGGACTTCAACATATCTTTTTAGGGGGACACTTTTTAATCCATAACAATATATATTCATAATTTCGAAGGACTCACATCTGCCTTACTAATAATTGCAATCCTGGAAGTGGAGAAAGCAGAAGCCAGTATGCTCTCATTGGAGAGGAAGTGGGAGATGAGGTTACAGACAACCACATACAAGTCTTTTGATGGTCATACTAGAGAGGGAGCAACACCAAGGTTTGGGGGGGTTTTTAAGTGTTTTTTATTTTTATCTCTATTTTTATTTTTTAAATATTTTTATTGGTTTCAGAGAGGAAGGGAGAGGGAGAGAGAGATAGAAACATCAATGATGAGAGAGAAACATTCATCGGCTGCCTCCTGCACATTTTCTACTGGGGATCAAACCTACAACCTGGACATGTGCTCTTGACTGGAATTGAACCAGGACCCTTCAGTCTGCAGGTGGACACTCTATCTACTGAGCCAAACCAGCTAGGGTTTAAGTGGTGTTTCTAAGATAAAACTTTGTTGAAGTTCATATCTGAATCAGTAGGTCTTCGATGGGGCCTGAGATTGTGTAATTCTAACATGCTCTCTGGTAAAGCGGACGCTGCTGGTCAGTGAACCACAGGAGGCCAGAGCTCTGAATGTAGTTGTGCATTAATTTGGCTGATTCCTTCCTAGATGCTGAAGGATAATTCTTCCAGATAATTCCTATTGTCTTACACTGTACCTGTCACATAAAGATCTTTTGAATATATTAAATATATGAAGATGTGTATTTGGCATTATCTACAACTATGAAAAAGTGGGGAGGAACCCTAAAAGCTTAATAACACAAGAATGGATGTTAATTAGAGAAAAAATATACTTTGGAATATTTTTAAGTAATGAAACTGATCATTTTGAAGTCCGTATGATAATAGGGGAAATTCCTATGACAAAATTTTAGAAAGCATGTGAGTTTTTACTTACAATATTTTGATTGCCACTGTGTGAAATTATGCATTTGGACAAGAACAGAACAGAAAAAGCAACTTGGATTTGTTGGAGCAACAAGATCATGGATGATTTTTGCATTTAGATTTCTTTTTTATATATATATATTTTATTGTTGTTGTTGTTGTTTTTGTTGTTTATTTGTTTTTTTTTACAGAGAGGAAGGGAGAGGAATAGAGAGCCAGAAACATAGATGAGAGAGAAACATCGACCAGCTGCCTCCAGCACACCCCGCACTGGGGATGTGCCTGCAACCAACATACATGCCCTTGACCAGAATCGAACCTGGGACCCTTCAATCCGCAGATCGATGCTTTATCCAATGAGCCCAATTTTGGCTGCATTTAGATTTCTGTCAATGGTATAAAAATTTCTATTACCCATATGAAAGAAAAGAAACCAAACATGGATAGTCTCACTGGAAAATCAAAATGAAGATAAATAACTCCTACATATGGTAGCTTAGATTCGGGATTGTATATATTGTTCTATAAGTATATATATATATATATATATATATATATATATATATATATATATAAAACTTTAATTTGCACAATCATTCTTTTATTCTTAGCTGACAGCTTCCCTCTTCCTTTGTCCCTTTTTTTTTTCTTTATTCCCTATCCTTATGCTTCCGCTCTTTCCTCCCTCTTTTTAAGACATCTCTCCCTTAAGGAATTCCCACTCCCAGTGATATCTCATCGAAGGAGCACATGAATAGCTGACATTATGTAATGCTTTGACATTTGGCATTCCCAAGGCATTACCCCACCCCTGATACAGAATAAGCTGTCAGAGCATGAAATTGGTATTTTTACATATTCTTAATGTACAGATGTCATTCTGAAAACCATTCACTAGTATGATGATTGCATTCTTTGTCTCATTTTCTTTCTATGCCAAGATCTGTTCTTGTGATTTCTTTTCTTTTGGGAGCTTCAAAGAGGGAAGACAAAACTTTAATGATCCAACTTTCCAATATACTTGTACGTCTCTGGCCATTTTTAGCAACCATCCTTTGGGTGCAAGAGCAAAGATGTAACAAGAAGGACCAGGTGTGATAGGGAAGCACAATCAATGGCCCACTTGATGGTGCCAGATTCCTCAGCATATTCCAGTTTACAAGTTTATAATTCTGTGTTAATCACAGAGATGAATGGCTATGCTTATGGGAGGAAAGACGTATGTAAAAATAATAACCTTGTAGAAAATACACAAGGTAAGAACCGGGAGGGATTTAGAGATAGTCCTGTCCATCTTCCCAATCACTCAACAATGCCTTCCTTAATAGGATCCCTGACAGCTGAGTATCCAGTCTCTGAACACCTTCAGTGATGGACATCTCACTACCTCATGAAGCAACCGTTTCATTCTTCAACAGTTGACAAATGCTGCCCAGCATTCTTTCCCCTTCTAGAAACAGTACCGACTTCTCTTGGGGAACTACTGCTTCACCATTCCATGTGGCTTCTGACGGGACATGCAGTGGTGTGCTGCTTCCTGGCCTGTTTGCCCTTATATCCATTCCCTGCCTCCCCCCCCCCACCCCTCTCTGGATTGCAGGGGCAGGAGGGGGTGCTGACCCCCATAGGCTCTCAGTCTCAGGCTCCCATTTCCGCTGGGTTTTGGTGGGTCTGACCAATGGGAGGCACTGGCTGGAGAGTGGAGGGTGAGGAGATGGCTCACTGAAGGTCTGTTCGGGGCTCTCTTCCAGCATGGCCAGAGCAAAAGGCAATGCACAAAAGAAGGGGAGAGTTATATGTATAGAAGAAGAGGGTAGCTTCGAGGAGAAAGGTGGATTTGGAAGAAAGGTAGATGAAACTAGATTGGGAGAGCCCAGAGTCTGGAGCCAGATTGTACGCTTTGAATCCCAGCTGGGCTTTTTTTTTTTAAATTCAGTCTTTATTGTTGAAAGTATTACATACCGTATTTTTCAGACCATAAGACGCTCCGGACCATAAGACGCACCAGTTTTTAGAGAAGGGAAATGAAGAAAAAAAGATTCTGAAACAAATAGTGTCCTAAAATATTTTATGTGCATTAAAACCCAACATCACAGTCATAAACACATGTAATCAACCCTGTAAAGTAAACAGCAGCATTTAGAACCATTTTAGAGCCGGGCAAGCACACAGAGACCACACAGAGCTGGGCAAGTAAAAAAACTTTTTTTTTAAAGTATATGTGTAGGCTATATTTGGACCATAAGACGCAGGGACTTCCCCCCCCCCCCACTTCTTGGGGGAAAAAAGTGCGTCTTATGGTCCGAAAAATACAGTATGTCTCCTTCCCCCCACCCCCCATTGATCCCTTCTAGCCCACCCCAGCCTCCTGATCCAAGCTGGGCAATTTACAATATGTATGACCTTGAGTGTGTTACTTAATCTCCCTGCTTCAGTTTTCTCCTTTGTAAAATATGGATGATTCTAATATGTACAGGATAGTAGTACATACCTTGTAAGGTTTTTGCAAAGATACAATGAATTAAAATGTGGGAAGTGCTTAGAACAGAGCCTGGCACATAGCAAATGCTATATACATGTTAGTTGCTGCTGCTGCTGCTGCTGCTGCTGCTGCTGCTGCTGGTGGTGATGGTGTCATTCTGAGGTTTTACCTGATGTTAGCCCCTGGGTTTGAGTCCAGCTCTTAGAATGTGTCACAAAGATCTCTGATGTTTCTCATGGAGCCTGTGCAGCACCGATTCCTCTCCCCCAGAATTACCTGGCTTGCTATACACCCATGAAGCCTGGATGTGGAGGGTGTGTGTGTAAAGCCATGCAGAGCAAAGGCATTTCCTTGCCTTTGTTACAAGGCAGCCATAAAGTAATCCATGACAAAATAGAGAGGACACAGACCTGGGGATCCCGAAGCCTGGCTTCTGACCCGAGCCCTACCTCTAATTCAGTAGGTGACCTTGGGCACGTCCCTTCCGTTCTCTGGACTCCAGTTTGACTCTCTATAAAATGGTGGGGGGAGGATTCTGACGGTCTAAGGGGCTCTCTTCCAGCTCTATCATTCTGTGATTCTAAATCCCTTTATAACAAACTCGAGGAGAGGAGCTTTGCTCTTGCAAATGGAGTGTAAAGTTAATCCTGCCTGTGCTGAGGCTAACTACTGTGCGTGTGTGGTTTATCCTACTTCATTAAACCCTGACTCCCCACAGAGCAGGCATAAGGCAGCCCAGGCAGGTAATACTGAAGTCTTGCTGAACTGGGTCTCCTAATGGAAAATGATTTCCCCTCACTCTTCCTGGAGTTTAGAAGCACAAAGCCTATAACTCCCATTTTCTACCCCGATACTTTCATGTGTAGATTCAGACTCATCAAAGGTATAGCAAACTGGGCCCTGGTACCTTATTTATGTGCCCCCTCCCTGGGCCCCCTCCCCCACCCTCCAATTCTGCAGACTGCATCATCATTTTACAAATGAAGAAACTGAAGCTCAAACATGTTAGCAGACTTGCTCGGGGAGGCACAGAAAGTTGTGTGGGATGCAGAAAGTGAGGGCAGTGCTGCTCTGGAATGAATGCTCACTAAGAGGGGCGGGAGGGGGAAGGAAGGTCATTGGGAACTTCTGAGGCCATGTCCCCAAGATCCTCATCTTTTCTAAAAATTCTTGCAGAATACCAGGTCAGTTTTCCAAAGATTAGAAGAGAGCACCCAGCGGGTTGCTGGCTCAATCTTAGTGTGAAGGTGTGTGTGCAGGAGGCAGCCCCGATGTTTCTATCTCCCTTCCTCTCTGAAATCAATAAAGATGTACAGTATTTAAAAAGAAGAAGAAGAAGAAAAAAAGAACAGAGCTTGTCATAAAGGCTAGACCTCAGTTTCTTTATCAGCTAGACAGAGTTTTCTAAGTATATGGATGTCCCACCAAAATCAGCTGGGGGGCTTCAAATATATATCTGTCTAGCCAAGATGTTCTACTAATTCCCAGTTCTACTGAACTTCAATTCCTGGGGCCTGAACCTCAATTGTTCAGGAGAGAACTGAACCAGCTGCATATCTAAGAGCCTTGGTATATTAATGCCCCCCCCCATATTGTTTTCGTGGTTACCACATTTTATTTTTTGAAGCAGCTTAAAAGATCTCTAGCCATGCTGCAAGGCATTCAGATTTGTGCAATGTTTACAATGACTTTGTTGTTCATTAAACAAATTTACCCAGACTAACCCAACAGGAAAGAAATCATCTTGTTTGCAGTGAGCTCCTGACAAAAATATGTGTAGCAAAGACAGACAAACACACATAAACCTGGCTTGCCAGTGGGACATAATTTGCTGCCACATCCAATTTTTCTCATTAGAACTTGTTTTATTTGAACATAACTCAGTACCCCGTGTAAATGTGAGATTGTTAATCTTATTACTATATGGAAAACAAATTAATTAGTATGCATGCTATTGGAGATGAGTTGTAAGGTTGGTGTTGGAAAGATTAGGAAAATACACTCATTACTCCAAATGATATCTGATATACATGTCTGACTTCCACTTTAAGATCAGTTCCATTATATGGACAACAAATATAGCTAATAAAAAATCAAGCTTTAAAAAAAAATCCAGCTTTTGTGCTGAGCATCTAAATGTTGAGATTGAGCAGATACAGACATGCTGGCCTTATTTAAAGGTTGTGGGATGAATAACTGCTTGTCACTATTTCTCAGCTGAGACTTAGCTGCTGCAGGCACCTTCTCAGGGTCCAGCTTCCTTCCCAAACCAAACCAGGTGAGAATGATCTTCTCTTTCTACATGCTCTTCCCTGAGCACTTCTTTCTATTATCTGGCACTGGTCATAATGAACACATCTTCTTTTTCCAGGGCACTGTGTGCTTCTTGAGGGTAGGGAATATATTTCAATTGGAAATTCAAATACTGATCATAATACAGTGCAACAGAAAAAAATATATGTAAAGACTGAGAAAGCTCTTTATTTGCCAATGTGAAATAATCAACGAGATATATTGCCAAGTGCACACCTATGGACTGCCTCTGGAAGTATACTGGTAACATTGATTCCCAGGTTACCAGGGAGGGGACCTGTGGTTGGGAGGCATAGGTAGGAAGAGGCTTTTTCTCGGGTTACTTTTGTACCTTTTAAGTTTGTCATATATATGTACTACCAAGCTAAAAGTAAAATCTATTAAAAATCAAGTACTTGCTCAAAATAAAAAATAAAAATAAAAAAAACACCAACCATGGCCAGATGTGACTCAGTTGGTTGAGCATCGTCCCATGCTCCAAAAGGTGAAGGGTTCAAGTCCCAGTCAGAGCACATGTGTACAGGAGGTAACCAATCAATGTTTCTCTCTTGCATTGACATTTCTCTCTCTCTTATCCTCCCTTTCTCTAAAAATTAATAAAAACATTTTAAAATGATAATAAAATAAAATTTTTAAACACCAAAAAAATAAGGCAATTAAAAAAAAAGATATTTGGAATGTTAAAGACTTCAGGAAGTCCTTTAATAAATAAAACTGTTTTATTTATTTATTTATTTATTTTTTAAATATATTTTATTGATTTTTACAGAGATGAAGGGAGAGAGCCAGAGAGCCAGAAACATCGATGAGAGAGAGACATCGACCAGCCGCCTCCTGCACATGCCCCACCGGGGATGTGCCCGCAGCCCATGTACATGCCCTTGACCGGAATCGAACCCGGGACCGTTCAGTCCGCAGTCCGACGCTCTACCACTGAGCCAAACCGGTTTCGGCTAAAACTGTTTTATTTTAACTCAGTGTTATCAGAGTTACTTCACCAGGGAACTCGAAAAGAAACATAAGGTATCCAGTGTTTTCCAAAGGTTTTGACCCTGAAGTCCTTTACAAAAATATTCACCTGTTACTATCCCACAAAACACAAATGACCAACCCACTAGTGTGCTCTAGGCAACATGTTAAACCCGCAGGTGGAAAAAAGGTAGATATTGACTCTACTGCCACCTTCATGGATGAACAAGGTCAAGTCCTCTCTTCTCTGGACCTCAGTTTTATCATCTCTAAAATAAGCCAGCTGTATGAGATTATCTCTGGAGCTCCTTCCAGCTCTAGAGCTCTGGCAAGAACATATTAAAAACTTCCCCCACAGTGAGCCCATGCTTTGAGTAACAATTGGAGGCAAAGAGGTTTACGGTGCCTGTTAAAAGAAGTTACAAATCTAACTGATGTGGATATATCTTCAAAAAAACTCAAGGATCAAAAACAAACAAACAAACAGCCAAGATATTCCAGGAGGTTGTAAGAAACCAATGCAATCATCTTTGGTTCACTACAGCCCTGATACTGGAGTCTCGTCACTCCCACTTACTCACTTGTGTATCCTTGGGGAAAGCCCTGAGTGGAAGGTTTCCTCAGCTATAAAGTGGGTATAACAATCGCTTTGCTGCTTTCCTCCAATTCTTGATAAAGGCATTTAATTCATCACAGCAGCAGAGATGAGAGAGTAGAAAACCAATGACAGGTTTGTCAAACCATTTAGTTAACAAGTAAAAATGTCCCCTTATCAAATTATCTTTCATTTATCAGTAAAATGCCCTTGGTTGGGGCATGAAGGTAGTATGAAATTATAATACCCATCCATTATTAGAGGCACAATACATTTTTAAAAGCTGTTTACAAAGTGACTTGTCATTATATCAAGAACCACATAAGAATTCAGGCTCTCTGACTCAGCAAATCTAGATCTGGGGATTTTAGGAAGTAACAAAAAAGAAAAAGAAAAAGTGAGAGGTATGAAAGTTGCACTTTGGGATTATCTGTAATAGTGTTAAGTTGACTCCTTCTAAATATATAATACTAGGGAGTTCTATATCCACTTAAAAGAGTATTAAGCAACCATTAAAATAATTATGAACACATTTATTTTTAAATGATAATTATAAAGGCCATATGGAATTATAATGATAAACTGTTAAGTGAGAAAAGGGAATACAAAGCTGTAACTATACTAATAAATTACCTATGTAAAATGTGCCAGCATGTAAAGACAAGAGGAACAATGAATTGTTCATTTCCTAGGATGGTAAGATTATGGATAATTTTTTTCCTTTTAATATCCTTTATTGTTATAACTTTGTGAACTAAATAAAAATGTGGAGGAAATACAATGAAAGTAACAGATAGGTACATTTTGTTGTATTCTTTGTAAATCCTTTCACTGAAGAAAGGGATTAAATGTGGCTTACCATAACAAATCATAAAATAAGACCCACATACTGGATTTCCTTCAGACCCTCCTACCTTTCCGAGAATAAATTAAAATATAAACACCAGAGTTGAGTTTTTAAAATCCAGGATTATCTCATTATTCTATTTAAAACTGTAAAGAAAGAAAATGCCCTCTTTTTTCTTTTGGATTAAAAGTTTTCTCAGCCAAATTCCATATGTCTGTTCTTCCCTGTTAAGGGGGCAGGGTCCCCATCCTCATGCATTTCTCAGCCTGTAGGACCTCCACTAGAGGTGTAGACAGTGATGGAGAAGATCCAGTCAGATTGGAGAGAGCCCAATTGACTTGTGAGATGAGCATACTGATTTCTGCCCAGGCTGCCATCCAGGTTTGTAGTCACGATGCACTGAGATAAGTGTAGGGAATCATGAAAGTGCTTTGTAAATCCTCCAGAACTGTGTCCAGTGGATCTTTTTTCTTTGGGAGTCAGTGTGGCATAATGTCGGACACACAGGGAGGGGTAGAACCTGGGTGAGAGCATTTGGGAGAGAGGAGGAGCGGGTTTTAGTGAAATGGTTAGTGTTAGCAATTAGGAAATGTGAGCTCTGGCATGGTAGGTCAGTTGGTTAAAGCATCTTCTCATACTCCAAGGTTGCAAGTTCAATCCCCGGTCAGGATACAAAAGGCAACCAGTGAATGCATAAATAAGTGGAACAACAACTTAATCTCTCTCTCTCTCTCTCTCTCTCTCTCTCTCTCTCTCTCTCTCTCTCTCTCTCTCAAAAGAAAAAGAAATTTGACTGTGAAGTCAGAACTGGCTTTCAAATTCCAGTTCTGCCATGGAGCCTCAGAGTAGAGACTTCACTCAGCTCATAGTGACGTATATAAAACACAGTGCCCAGCAAGTAGTAAGCACTCAAGAAATGTCAGTTAATCTCATTAGTCGTGCCCCTCTGGGATTACTTGTCCAGTAATATTTAGTTTAAATATCTGTCTGAGCAGATATCTTCACAGGGACCTTCACTGTGACACCTTGTTTGTTTTTCCCTGAGGCAATGACCCCCAAAGGGCAGAACTAGGACCAGTGGATAGAAGTTACATGGAAGCTGATGTGTGCTCAATGAGGGAAAGAACTTCCTGGCAGCCATTCCATAATACCAGTTCCATAAGAGACTAGTGAACTCACTGCCTGGAGGCATTCAAACTCAGGCTTAGTAACTACTTAAAAGGATGCTGTAAAAAGACCAACCTAGACACAGCTAATACAATTTAATGAGACTCGCTATCCCAAGTTCCTATGCTCTCAATGAACTATGTATTGATTTACAGTATTATTACTTCAGCAATTCTTTAGTTGACAAACTACTTGTGCCACCTTTAAAGCTTTGGCCTATATTCTAATTCCTCTCTGAAGAGAATGCCCATAGAAGTCTCCTGGGGTTAGAGGCTGATGGAAAATCAGAACACGTGACCTATGACCACTTTCTGAACCTTCTTTCCCACAGTGACATTCTTTCTACAATGTGCTTGTGGGATAGTAGAGTTCACCTCATTCGTGCACTATATTGACTGCAATTATGTCTTCTCATTTCCCTCTAGGACCTGAGGTTTTCTTCTCCTCTCAGCTCTGCCCAGCCGTGTTTTCTTCCCAGCAATTCTAGATCTGGCATTGCCTTTTCAGAAATTTAGCAGCAGTATCATGACAGCGGTTAACCTATGGGTCTCAGATGTGCTTGAATTGAATTTTTTGTTCTTTGCTTTCTTACAGTGTTGGCAAAGGATACTTCAAAAAGAAACACACAATTTTTCAACACGTGAATACTGTCGGCCTTTTTCTATACAAACCTTCTCCTGTCACATGCTGAACCATCGACTCTTCTACCAAAGGAGACAAATATTGAGTCAACTAAAAAATATTTTCTTTAAACAGCATTCAGAAATCCAAACGCAAGGTAACAATACTTCATGAAGCGAGTGCCAGGCTATTAAATGATTTGGTCCTCACAACAGCCCTGAGAGGTAGGCTGAGTAGGTGGCAATTAATCTCCCCACGATACAGGTTAGAAAACTGAGGGGCAGAGAGGCGAAGTCGTACTGTTAGGAGGTGATAAAGAAGAAAGCATGCGTTAGGCACTGCAGAATCCCAGTCCAGAGAGGATTTCCCCTTCACCACATGTTTTCATTCACCACTCAACTCAAATGAGCATTTTTTATGGACAAGTCCTATATTGTGCCGGGGTTGCAGGGATGGACCAGACACTCTCCCTGCTCTTATGAGAGAAGAGAAAGACAAAAACTGCTATGATAGTGGGACAATGACATTAGCAGAAATGTGGGGCCTAGTGGGAATCTGATGTGTTCACTCAGGGAGTGACCCTAGGCCTAAGGCAGATACAAAAGCCCAAAAGCAGGTGGCAGTGACCTCTGCTTAGAGAGGCTAGGCAAGAGGGAGGGTCTTGCAAAGCTCAGAAGGTAGTTCAGATGTTCCCATGGGTACCACCTGGGAGGGGTGGCTAAGCAGTTCAAACTATGGGATTGCTCTAATGCAATTCTTACTATATCTCCTTGGGGACTTTGTTTCTCAGCTGGGAAAACTGACTATCCTCCTGCTCTGCCAATTCCTAAATAGGCCAAATATTTTTTGTCTTTAAGCCATTGCTCATACTGAACCCTTGGTCTATGGTACCCTTCTGCCCATCTTTTCCAACTCAGTCTTCCAGCCTTAAATCAAATATCACCTCCCTCAAGAAGTCTTCATAGATTCCCCCTAGCAAAAAAGGGATTCCTCCTTCGTTTTCCTAATTGCATTTAATTAAAAGACTTAAACTACAGGCTTATTTCTCTGCCATGACTTTGAACAACTCAAGGTCAAGAAAGACTCACCTCCCTTGAGTACTAAACACTGAGCTCTTTATTGAATGGAATTGAATTAAAAATGGGAGCAGGGGACAAGTGGTTCTT